ATACTATAATCATACTCATATGCAATCTCGTGCAATACTATAATCATACTCATATGCAATCTCGTGCAATACTATAAATATATACTCATGTACACTCGTTGTAAAAATAGAGTACTTTCTGTGGAGGTCTCTTTCTTTCTTTCTTACTCTTGAGTCTCTCTTGACTCACTTTCTTTCTCTTGAGTCTCTCTTGACTCGCTTTCTTTCTTTTGAGTCTCTCTTGACTCGCTTTCTTTTCTCTTGAGTCTCTCTTGACTCGCTTTCTTTCTCTTGAGTCTCTATTGACTCGTTTTCTTTTCTTTTCGCTCATAGACGGCTCAGGGTTTCACCGCAGCGTGAATTGCCCCATCGGGAACAGCGTAAGTCCAACCCAATATCACCTACCGTCTACGGAACCAATCTTGTGGTTCTCGTGCTGTGGAATCAGGTATCGAACTTTCAGTGTGCGCACCCCCTACCAGGATTCCAAGCCTGGAGGGTAGTTTCCAACCTCGTAATGTGGGAATACGCCGCGTTACATATACTGGGACCGCAATGTCTATAAAATCATCCGAGAGGACATAGTCCAAACGGGATCCTCCAAAACCTCACCGATATAGATAATACATAAATATATCTCTCATGCATGCAACAACTCATCAACTTCTCAATGCATCAAAGAATGGTATACCGCATGCTTATGATTTTTGAAAGTATTACTTGGGCTCACGTTGGCCCTTTATGCATTTTTGAAATATGACATATGTGGGATGCCAAAATACTCTATAACATAATTCAATCCCATGTACAAAATACATGAAGTACTCAATAATATAGTATCATGCTTGGTTCGCAACATAGCAAATTTTATACATTTCACTCAACAAACATGCTTTTATTCTCATTGATCAAATAACACAATTTAATCATGCTTTCATAATAATTCATATTCTCAAAGAATCATGCTTCTATACTCAATAAAAACATCATCAGATCACATAGTCAAATAATTCTTCATACACAGTAAACTAGCAAATATATACTCTGTGTAACAATTCTTCAATAATTCCTTCATAACATACTCGTTTTTTTATCCAAATTCAACGAAATCAAAGCCAAAACGTGCGTCAAGACGGTCCCGAAGAGCCGAGCCACAAGGGCCCATAACACTCAGCCCAAAACGACACGTAGCTGAGCCACAAGGGCCCGGCCACTGCACAAAAACCTTCTCAGAACAAACTCAGGGACCTAGGGCGGGACTCCTCATGGTCCGCCCCATGAGCCCCGTTAAACCATCGGGACTAGGCGGCGGCCCTCCTCTAGGGCCGTGCCCTAGTCCCGTGTAACCACGACTTTAGCCGACGGCCCTCCTCTAGGGCCGCTGGTCTGATCTGGTGCACCCTGTGTGTGCACCAGATAGCTTTTTCTCCTGCAAGTTCAATCCAAACAAGTCCAAAACATTCTCAACAACTCACAAACAAATACTAGATCACTTCTAAGCATAAACACAACAAAATCTCATAGTTTCTATTCATTTCTACTAAAAAACAAGGCTTCACAGAGCCAAATTTCAAGAAGGAATCCATGGGGTTATACCTCTTGTAGTTATTCTTCTAGCTTGGATCTCTTCTTCCTCTCAATCTAGCTAGTGCCTCCTTCACCACCTATACTTCCCAAGCACACCATACAATCTTAGCCTAGAACCTCAAAGGTTAAAAGAAACTAGAAGAGAAATGAAGGCTAGGATTGAAGAAGGAGATGAGCTTACTGTGATGTTGTTTTCTCCCTTTTTTCTTGGCAGACAAAATATTTGGAGAGGCAAAGAATGAGATCAGGGAACCAACAATGGAATAGTGGTGTTTATATAGGGTCCAAAACCTAGGTAGAAGGCAAATGATTGGATGAGGGCAAAATGGTAAAAGCTTGGTTAGAAAGTGTTCTCAGCAAAGTTTTCTTTTGAATGAAGTGGTTCACCTTGTATCATGGACCAAGGCTAGAAATTCTAACTTTAAATACTTTGGGGTTGAAAATGAATTTTCTCAAAAAGCTATTTAGATGAACACTTGTTTAAAATCTTTTTGAATTCTCTCGGTCTCACTCAGATAAATTTCTTGATTTAAATCTGGGTACGCGAAGTACCCGAAAACTTAGGAATTTCGAATAAAATCAATTTTTAGTGTCGAATTAATTTAAAATGTGACGAAAATAATTTATTCAAACACCAATTGATCGCAAAAATTTTTAATGGAGTGAAAATGGATATTTTGGAATTTCTTAATACCGGATTTATAAAATGAAATTTTGGGTTGTTACATATATATATACACATATATAATAATAATGTTTAGAGTGAATTCCATTTTTGATCCAACTGTTATAGGGGCGTTTCCAATTTTAGTCCACCTTAATTTTTTTTTTTGCCACTTTATAACTACTATTATTGAATGTGTTCCACTTTTAGTCCCACCGTTAGTATTTCCATCAAGAGGGTGTGTAATCTAGGGGTATTTTGACATTTCTTCTCATCCAAGACTATGTTTGACTAAAGAAATGAGAACATTAAACCTAAAACCTAAGAAACCTCGTCGGTCCATGTTGGAACGAATGAAACGATGTAGCTTTGGCTTCCCATTCTCGTTGTTCGAAGAGCCATCTTCGAATATCGGAGGAGGAGGAGGAGGACGAAGCGCCTGGATTAAAAGAGAAGAGACAAACATAAAAAGACCAAAATACCCTTTGATTATACGGCCTCTTGACGGAAATATTAACAGTGGACTAAAAATGGAACACATTCAATAACAGTGGTTATAAAGTGGCAAAAAAAATTAAAGTGGACTGAAATTAGAAACGCCCCTATAACAGTAGACCAAAAATGGAAGTCACTCTAATGTTTATCTATAGGCAATAGACTCATGTGCAAATATAATTCAGATACAAACCCTCATGCAATTCATACTCAATTATACATACTTAATATACATTAACAAGATATAAATCAAGTTTGACTTAATAGATCAAAGAATAGGTAAAGTGACATGCCATCAAGTGAGTAACCAAAGCCAAGTAAGGAGGTAGAACATCACATTATGCATAACATTGGAAATCAAGTGGCATAACAACTTAACAACATATTATGAACCAAAGGAATACATTGTGAAACTAGTACTTGGCATGAATTCAATATTATACACTCTTTTCAAGTAACCTTCCGGGAATTCTCAACTGGATCGTCTCATCACAACACTTTAATACACACTTCCGGGAATTCTCAACCGGATCTCATCACAACACTTTAATACACACTTCCGGGAATTCTCAACCGGATCTCATAACATATCTCAAGAAACCCTCAGGGAATTCTCAACCGGTTTTATCATAACATAACTCAAGTAACCTTCCGGGAATTCTTAACCGGGTTCAACACAACAATTCAAGTAACCTTCCGGGAATTCTCAACCGGGTACAACACAACAATTCAAGTAACCTTCCGGGAATTCTCAACCCGGTACAACACGACAATTCAAGTAACCTTCTGGGAATTCTCAACCGGGTACAACACAACAATTCAAGTAACCTTTCGAGAATTCTCAACCGGGTACAACACAACAATTCAAGTAAACTTCCGGGAATTCTCAACCTGGTACAACACAACAATTGAAGTAACCTTTCGGGAATTCTCAACCGGGTACAACACAACAATTCAAGTAACCTTCCAGGAATTCTCAACCGGGTACAACACAACAATTCAAGTAACCTTCCGAAAATTCTCAACCGGGTACAACACAACACAACATCTCATAGGCATAGAATACACATAGTCATTAGGAATCGTCACAATATGAGAAATGATGTGTAATGATTTATGCACAAATGATCATGTAATCAAACTATCTCATAACTCAAGTCCAACTTTATAAAATAAGAATTTGGAGAAAAATATTTTGGGTCGTCACATCCGCGCTGCCACCTATATCACATGGTAAGCTTCGCGCTACCAATATATTACATGACAAGCTCCGCGATATCACTTATATTACATGACAGCCAACCACCTCTATCATATCTAGACCTCAGCTCATTGTGAGGTCCAAATCTAGACAGTTGCACTAGTTGTCCATCAAGAACAATATAATACCTACCAACAATCAATTTTTTTAAAATAAAAAATGTTTTTTCAAATCAATAAATTTTAAAATAAAAATAATTTTTTTAAGAATAAAAATAAAATGATTGTTCACATAGGAATATAGGATCTTCATAATCATAACATGCCACGTGTTCGCTTCGTTAGCACTACATTAGTGGTAACATGTTTGATACACAATAATAATGCCTAGTTGTATTATTTTGCTAATTTATGAGTCTTTATTGGAACTAAAAAAAAAAAAAAAAAAAAAAAAAAAAAAAAAAAAAAACCTCATTTGCGCTATTTATTAGATTTTGAGCAACCCCAATAGGGTTTTTGTGAGGGGTTTTCAAATGCAAAAACTCGGTGGTGATTTTTTAACCATTGGAAAGTGGAATTTTTTCAAAAATGTTTCTACTGCAAATGATATTTTTTATTTTTGAAGAGGAGGGAAATAGGTGTATGAGAACACGTCTGCGTAGAGCTGTCAATACGGGCTGGCGGGGCAGGGCCAGCCAAAGCCCGCCTTTTGGCCGGGCGGACTAAAAAGCCCGCCAAGAAAACGTGCTTAGGTAGGGGCAGCCCGCCCCGCCCCGCCCCCCCCCCCCCCCCCCAAGCCCGCGGGCCCCCGCCTAGTCCGCCTTTTTTTTTTTTTGGTATCATGTATTCATGTGTCCCTAAAATCTAAACTCTAACGTGACTATGTTAATAACTTAAATATTATCTACTTAAAACACTTATTCATAAGTAAATAACACAAATTAATTCATCATGACAACGAATTGAGTCATTGACACCATAGAGTCCAAAACATAAAAATTCAACATAATAGAGAATTAAAATATTACAAAAGTACAAAACATAACTACTTAACTACATAAGTTCATAAGTCCATTACATCATTCCAATATTCCAACATTCACATCCTCTTCAATCTTCATCTTCATTTTCATCATTATCATCAACAAGATTTACAACATTTGAATCTTCAAAGGACAAATTTGATGTTGAACTTGAACTTTCTTCAGTATCTACATAAAAATTCAACATAATAGAGAGTTAAAATTAAAATTAAATTACAATACATTAAAATATCAACTACCTAAAATATAATCAAATATTTCATTATTTTGCAAAAAAAAAAAAATAATAATAAGTTACCAATAGTATAGCCATGCAACCAATTTGTAGTGCAAATAAGTACTTGCACTTTTTCAGGCAAAGTACAACTCCTATACTTGGTGAGCACCAATAGAGAATGCCGACTCCGATGCAATAGTAGTAATTGGGATAGCCAAAACATCCCGTGCCATCAATGCAAGTGCATGATATCTATGCATACGTTCTTTCCAATAATCCAAGATATTCAAATCCTCATAGTATGCATATTCAAGTTTTGGCTTCTCCAAATAAATTTTCAATTCTGACTTTCCAACAGTCTTAACAGTTTGACTATCATACCTTTTAATTGCCTACATTAGTTAGAACTTAGAAATTAAAATTTAAAACATTAAACATGTTATCACAAATTCACAATCACAAATGCAAATTGCAGATATAGAAAATATATATAAATTGAAGTGTTAGAAACCTAGAACTTAAAATACTTACTTCAAATGCTCTTTTTCTTTGACTTTTACCTAAACTTTCACTTTGCATACTTGAAGATGTGACTTGGGAAAACCGTGGTTGGGAAAGAGGTGGAGTAATAATATCCGCATAAGCACTAAAAAGCTTGTTCAACTTTGTCTTCAAAAGTGAAATCATTTCTTTAAGTTTAGTTGGATCACTCTGAACCTCCCCATATAAATGCTCCAATGTTACAAGCTTTATCCTTGGATAAAAAATAGCTCCAAATGCAAGCACTAAGCTATATTCACTCCAATATTTATCAAATTTGTCAAACATCTTTTTACACATTCCACTTATCAAGACATCTTCATTATCCAAGTTTTCTTTCAACATACTTTCAATCTTCTAAACTTGCATAAAATATAGATTTGAGGTAGGATAGGAAAAACCGGAAATCAAAATTGTCACCTCATATAATGGCTCAAGAAACTCACATATTTTCTCACATCTTTTCCATTCTTCATTTGAAGGGCAAAATTTATATTGTCTATCATTCAATTGAAGAGAAGCAAATGCCCTTTTGTACTTAATAGCACTTTCCAACATTAAATATGTGGAGTTCCACCTAGTAACCACATCCAATCTCAAACCAATACTAGTATCAATGTTACCAACTGCACTTATACATTCTTCAAACTTCTTCATCCTACCCTCAGAACCTTTCAGATATTTCACATATTTGACAGACTCTCTAATTTTATGCAAAGCTGAATTAACCACTTTCAACCCCTCTTGTACAATGAGATTTAATATATGGGCTGAACAACGAATGTGGAAAAACTCTCCATCACACAACAAACTATCATGCAAAGCTAATTGCTCCTTTAAAATGTTTTGCATACTACCATTACTAGATGCATTATCTAATGTCAAAGAGAACACCTTTCTTTCAATTCCTCAATCCTTCAAAAATTGAAATATTTTTGCAGATAATTCACATCCTGTGTGTAGTGGGGGCATCTTAGCAAAGCAAAGTATCTTGCTATTCAATTTCCAATTCACATCAACAAAGTGTCCAGTTAAGCAAATATATCCCTCACTAGTGCATGCAGTCCATACATCAGAAGTTAAACAAATTCTATTTTTAATATTTGCCAACACTTGTTTAAGCTTCTCTTTTTCTTGAAAATAGATCTTAGTAATGTCAGACACAAGTGTGTTTCTAGAGATACAAGGGACATCGGGATTCAAATACTTCTGCCATTTTCTAATACCCTCATATTCAACAAATGAAAATGGTAAATCATGTTTGATGACTGCAGAAGCTAACAACCCCTTAGCAACATTTGGATCTACTTTCCTAGATTCAAGTTTGCCTTCATGATTAACAAACATTTGCCCAACATCATGAAACTTTAACATCCTACGTATTTCTTTGTGTCTCTTTAATGAAGAAGTTCCATGTATTTTCCCCCCAGCTTTAAATTCTTTCGAACAACCATTGCTTTTTGTCCTTGGAATACCATCTTCACCAATTGGAAGCTTTGTAAAATAAGTCCACACATCAGAGGTAAGTTGTTTAGACTTACCTTTCTTTGTAGAATTATTCATTCCTGGCATTCCATCAACATCATCATCGGCAATGGTATGAGTAGTTTGGTTCGCATTAGTTTGGTTCAAAGACACAGAATCTATCACGAATCACGAATTCACGAGCAATCTGAGTAGACGGAGCAGTACACATGAAATCAGTAATTATATACACAAAACACAATACGACAGTACAAAGAAATTATATACATTAAATGTCTAAATTCTGATTAAAGAGAATGATTATATATTTATATCAGTAAATTATCATTATCAATACATTGTAAAGGGAAAGACAAAAAATGTCAGTAGTTCAATACAAATTACAATGTCTAAATTCTGTATTTCTATCTAAATTATTATTATATACATTATTATATACACTAAATAGTAAATATCATTACACTGTAAAGTGTAAAGGGAAAGAAAAATAATTAAATCAAAGGGAAAGAAAAAAAATTACCTGGACAGTGGGCAGTGGCGTCGCGCCGTTGCTGAGCGGTAGACTCGCGGACCTCACGGTGGGTCGCCGGTGACTCGCGGTGGCGTCTAACTGATGGGCGATGGACGGATAGACCGTGGACGGATGGACGGACGGACGGACGGACGGTGGCGTCTGAGGCTCTGAGCGTCTCGCACTCTCGCAGAAACGAAGGCGGGTGTTAGGGTGAGTCGTGAGTGGGTGACTGCCTGACTAGAGTTAGAGTTTTTACTTTTTAGAGTTTTAGTCTTTTAGAATTTAGATATTAGAGTATAAGAGTATTAGAGTATTTTTTTTTTCTTAAATAATAATAATAATATAAGCGGGCTGGCGGGCTAGCCCGTGGACTAGGCGGGGCGGGTAAAAAAGCCCGTTTTTAATATGAGATTCTAAACCACGAGCCCGGTCCGTCTTTTTTGCGGGACAGGGCAGAAAAGTCTGGCGGGCTAAGCCCATTTTGACAGCTCTAGGTCTGTGCCTAGTGGGCGCGTTTTGGGCGCAAGTGTTTCATATTGCACTTGCTGGGCACTTTAGAGTGGCCACCCACTGACAAGCACTATGAATTACTGTTTTTTTTTTTTAAACTTGCCGTTGCTGGCCAAAATTTTTTTAAAAAAATATTTTTTTATTTAATTTTGTTATTATTTTTTAAATGTATACTATGCAAATCCAACTTCTTTATTTAATTTATTAAATTTAAATTTATTATTAAATTTATAATTATCAATTAAATTAAATTTTGAAATGTTTAATTTAAGTATAAATAATACTAATAATTATAATTTTTAAAATAATAATAAATAATTATCTAAAAATAATAATAATAAATAAAGAAATAATTAAAATATAATTTGTGTAAAATTGTGAGTCCATAAAAAATATGTAAAAAAACTCAAACGGTTGTGAAGAAGGATTTTTTAGATTAGGTAAGATAATATATCATGGGGTCCACAAAAAAATTGGAGAAAAAATTCATGTTGTTAAGGTTGCTTTTAGAGCAAGCGCATCATTATTTTATTTATTTATTTATTAACTTAGGTGATTCGAACTTTGTTTAACTATTTTTTTTTCACAATTGGAGGAGGGAGAAGACTATTTGGAGTGGACAGAATAGTTAAGAGGAAAAAAAAAATTATTTCATTAATGTTGAATCTTTGTGGGTCCACAATTATGAAAAAGGGAAGACCAATCTTGCACAGGTGCGTGTGCGACACATTTAATGGGCACGTAAATAATCAATTTTTTTTCTCCCTCTTTTTTCTCGCCCATCCACATTCTATATGGCATGCAAAAATTGAGCAATCAAACCCATTCTTTGAGAGTTGGAGTTGCTCTTAGCAATTTGACACTTTTTTCCTTTGTTTTAAAACAACATTTTATATTGTCATTTAGCTTGTAGCTCAATGGCATCTTTGTGACTCTTCCGAATGAGAGATCACATGTTTGAACTCTAGTGGGATATTGACTATTTGTGCTTCAAGTAGGAAAAAATATTTTATATTAAGGTATTTTAAGATGAAAAACAGGTTTAGGGAAGGTCAAATAAGCCCATAAACTTTACTCAAGAAGTTAATTAGATCCTTAAACTTTTAGAAGTTGCAATTAAATCCCCAAACATGTTATTTTGGAGCAATGAAACCCACTAACCTATTGGTGACTTGTAATTGTAGGTCAACTAGGGTTCCGGCCAACTCCGACAAACATCCAACCAAATTCCGGCAAGCTAGGTCAAATACCAACAACCGACGATCGTCAACGGGCACCTGTCGCGTTTTGCTGGAGAAGGCAACTAACTCCATTAGCCGGAGAAGGCAACTAACTCCATTAGCCGGAGAAGGCGACCAATTAAGTTGGTTGCCTTCTCCGACATAATGTGATTAGGCTGATACTTGACCTAACTTGCTGGAATTTCGTCGGATATTTGTCGAAAGTTCGCTAAAATTGGCTGGAACTCTAATTGAACTGTAATTACAGCTTACCAATAAGTTAAAGAGTTTCGTTGGTCCAAAATAACATATTTATAGGTTTAATTGAACTTTTAAAAGTTTAAAAACTTAATTAACTTTTTAGGTAAAATTTAGGGACTTTTTTTTTTTTTATATAATTTAATTAAAAAATGTAAAAAAAAAAAAAATCAAGAAAAAAAAAAAAAAAAGAGTCTTCCATAATTTAAACATTCTGACCCTTTTCCTTCTCTCTCTGCTATCTAAAGAGAGATAAAGAAAGTGCTCTTCTACACAATATGTACAGCAATCAATCTTCAACTTCTATAGTTCTATCTACATATAAAATCCATTGAAACCCCCTCGTACCCACCCTATCATCATCAAACCTCTCCTTTCCGAATCCTCTGTAAGCACTTTTCTCTTCTGAGCTTTCTACACATATGCACATAATATTGCATATTTGAATACTTGTATTGTTTGTGTAAGCAGTAAATATAATTTTGAAACAATTGCCGGTGTGGGTCTTGGAATTCGAGTTTGCATTGAGCTTGGTGCGGCTGCTGTGTATTTTTCTTAAGAAAGATGGAATTTTTAGGCGTAAATTGAGAAAACCCTATAATTTGGAATATTCCGTTTAGAGGAACAGTCTTAGCGATTCGAAGAAATTGGATTTATGTGATGTTCTGGGATGAATTTCTGAATTTTGTCTTTATATTCTGGAAAGGTTTTGCTGGAGTTATGAATTTGTTTGGTAAATGATTGCGGATAGGGACGGAAACAATGGCTTTGGCAACCCTTCATTTGCAGGTAATGGAAATTAAGCTATTTTTTGCTAAAATAATCCTTTAAATTTTATTAACGAATATTGTGTATTGAAAATAGTTGCATTTATGCATGCTTTTCCATTTCATGTGAAAACTAAAGTTTCATAGGCATCATAGTTCAGTTGTCACATTTATTTAGTAGGTCTTAAAAAATAGAACACTCTGATTAACTCTGTGAGAATTGATAAAAGAAAGAAAAAACATCTTTAGTAGTTGCACTGGTCCCTGGCATCTTGAAGATGATATGACGACCTGGGGGTTATTGCTGTTTTTTGCACAAAACTGGTTAGATGTTTTTATTGGTTATTTAGATTTTAGGTTAACACATGTAGTTTTACACAGTATTAAAATGCTAAGTTGCTTGAACTATTTTAAGTGTTAGTTTGTCTGTGGTATGTTTTGGTCTCCATTGATGAACATGTTATATTTTTTACCTCACCCCTCATTTGAACAAACTATATATATTACAAACATTTATGTTTGGACGGTTTGGTCTATAACTTTGTTTCAATTTATTTAGTTTCATTGTTGATTGATTGTAAGCTCATTGTTTATTGTTGACTTTCTTGTATTGATGTCATCTAAGTGCCTTTAAGAAATAGACACTGGGTGAACACGCTGTCTTGCCTCACTTTCTAATGTTTGAGGTCCAAAGAACTCTTTTAGCAATTGAATGCAAGTTTTCTTTCACTCCATTAATGAATCATTTATGTGTTTTTTTAATTGTTCGCAGCATTCTTATAAAACAAATCCTTTTCAATCTTCATCGTCGAGCAGTGGGAACAAATTGACACGTTCTGTGACAACGGTTCGCTATGTTGGGAGGAAAGATAAATTTACCTCATTGAAGTGCAGATCCTTTTATAGGTAATCCTATGTCCTATTCAGGATAATTCATTTTGCATATTTTTAATTCTATTAACTCTTGAACTCTATATGGAAATCATAGTGTATCTTAATGAGTTAATGTATTACTTTCAAATAGGGTTATTTGTCTGCATGAGAATGTTATTAGCCCTGACTTTACGTGTTGATAATGCAATAATCAATATAACATAACCAACATAGCAGTCAATATAGGATTTTTGAACTGCTTCTTCTTCTTTTAATACATATAATTAGATGTATACATGGCTGATAGTGGATGCTTTTGGCTTACTGCTGACCCATAGTGAGGAAGAAATATTTATCAAAACTTACAAATGGACTTCCTTATTAACATTTAGATCAAGTGATTTCATGATACCATCAATCTTTGTTTCATGGTTTCTTGGCCTATTTGAGTTTTACATTATCTTTTGGAGTGGTGGGGAGACCTGTAGTGAGATTTAGAGATAAAGACCCCTTGGACTTACCAGTTATCTGTACTTCAATTTTTGTTGGGGTGACCTCTTGGTCATGGTTTAAATCCTTGAAAGATTCCCTGAAGATAGGAAGAGTTTTGTGCATCCATTTTGTTGGAGTTGGCTACTTGATTTTACACAATGCAATGCCAGTTTCATTTTTTTAAGTGGAGTTCAATAGTTGGTAAAAAACTAAAATTTAGAATAGTTTGTCTTAAAAGTTACAGAAATTGGCACTAAATGGTTTATTGGTACTTAAAGAGTACAAGCAAAGTTGTAATTCTAGGAATGTGGTTAGTTCAAGGCTTAAAGCATGGCCCTAATAAACACATGGAAAATTAAAGTGAAATGTTTGCATTTCTTTCCCTTGTCATTCATTTTGAAAAGTAA